TTTCACTTTAAATTCTGCCTGGTGAAATAATTGAGCCAATGAGTTAATATGGCGCTGTCAAAACATAGGAAAACAAAAATGGCCGCGCTTCTGCCAGGTGTCGCCACTGGACCGGATACAAGGTGAATAAAAGTACGGAAACTGATGGTAATTCGACGGGAAACGGAAGTGCTATCTCAATATAAAGCTTTCAGTGAGGTAAGTATTTTAATATGCATTTTATTTCAGGTAAAATGCTGCTATTTTCAAAATAAATAAATGAATATTTCCAACACCCACACCAATTAGCCTGGCCCCAAAGTTAGCACTGTAAGGCTTGTGTTATGGGATACTAGGGTAACGGATAGAATACATAAAAAGGTATATTTATATAGAAACACATATTAAACATCCTTGACTGGAGTACAATGCTCGCACTCAATCACACAAACATCTGGCCCCACCGGGATTCGAACCCGGGACATCTCGACGACACCATAAAACCCGGCGTACAAACCACTCGGCCACGGAGGTCGAAATAAACATGAAACCTATCACATTACAAACGCAGATGAAATCATTTAATAAATAAAACACAAGTTTATATAAATATTTACATTTTATTCTGGTACGTCCCACATTACTTCGTTCGAAAATTCGGCCATATTGTGTTAATCGCGCAATGTACATAATAATAATACCTACAATATACTCTCACTTTCTGAACCGACTTTAACACATTTTCAGTACAACCACCACAAAGCTTTTCAAAGTAATCCAGCTTTTTTTCTTAATAAATTATTTTACATTAATATTGAAAGTGTAGCATAGAATATTAACATCTATGATGCTTGCAAATTTTCCAAAACAGAATTACTCTTTATCTAGTAAGCAGCCTAAGCAAATTAAGAATTAGATTCAAAACCAAAACCAATTTATGCAAATCAAATGCAATTTGTAACAACACTTTATCATGGTACATTGTACCAAACCTAGGTATATTGTACCAAACCTAGGTATACTGTACCTAATCATGGTATATTGTACCAAACTATGGTACGTTGTACCAATCAATGCTTAAACGATATTGAACCTGATTTATATGAACTGCTTATTTATTTCAAAGTACACAATGTTCAGCTTTGCCCCCCATTCTATCTCATTCTAAGCCACACCTTAGAATCTTTCTAGAAAATCTTATTACATAAAAAAGTACACCTAAACATTTCCTAATATTAAAATTTCTAATAAAGAACTAATACAATATGGTCGAAGGATTAGTACAATTAGTACAAACAAGTTAGTTAATATATTTACATCAGTCATTACAAAAATCCCCTTATCTCTGGACGATACACCACCATTTTTTTATCCATACACAGGGAACATGTAAAAATTTGTAGACTTTGTCCATTGAAATACAAAAACAACAAGACTCCCAATCGCCTAACAAAAGTGCATCAAAAAACGTCTGAGCGACATTGTTTTTTTTATGGATGGGTCCGACAAATGACTCTACCCCACCTGATGTTAAGTAACGGTGAAGTCCAGAGGCGAAGATAGCTGATACAGCAGTTCTATCTGCCACAGCCTGCATGTTGCTTCTTCACGCCTCTTATAAAGGATCCCAGGTTGTAAGAGAGAAGCATTCCATTTACGGATAATGCGACAAAGAAATGAGTCGCCAAACTTCTTTGTACGCGTTGGAATAACGGCCACAGTTAGTCGGTGATAACGTAGGCCAGTGCGCGTGGTCCTCTGATGGAAAGGGGAAGGTGGAATAAGAGAGAATAACTCCTCAGAACACTCGCCGTGGTACAGACGATAGAACGCGCTTAGTGACGGCACGTCACGGCGTAATTGAAGAGGTTCGAGGTGTTTAGTCACCTCCTCATCGCCTATGATGCGGACCGTTGCTGTAACCTATCCAAAGCATCAAACAAGTATGTAGCGGAGCCATCGCAGAGGTGCGAGCAATATTCCAAGTAAGACGGCATATATCTATATATATAAAACTCAAAGGTGACTGACTGACTTGACTGACATAGTGATCTATCAACGCACAACCCAAACCACTGGACGGATCAGGCTGAAATTTGGCATGCAGGTAGAGATGTTATGACGTAGGCATCCGCTAAGAAAGGATTTTGATCAATTCTACCCCCAAGGGGATAAAATAGGGAATGAAAGTTTGTATGAAACTTTGTCAATTTTAAACTGATCGGGCTGAGACTTTGCATGCAGGCATAAGAAGAATCATAGATGAATGTCATTGTGTATAATACAAGCCTGAGAACAAAAACTGTAGTCTACACTTCAGCTCTACACCGAAGCGAAGCGAGGGCGGGCCGCTAGTTATCCATAAATTTATACAGATAATATGAACATGTTTGTACAAATTAACACGTTAAGTAGTGGGAGAAAGGTTCAATATCAATTGAAAAAAGAGTTGGTTTGAGAGAGACAAACACGACTACGGTTTTATGTGTGGACCAGGTTTCAATTGCACATTTTTTAACCGAGCACATTGACATTCCGTGGCTTGGTAATCAAAGCGTGGTCGAAACGAGACTGTTTGAAAATTACGCACAATAGACGAATGTGCGTTACTTTGTTTCAGACACTTTTTAAGCGCGATTGTGAGTCTACGTGTATTTATATTCCAATGATGAATGAATGACTAATGCTCAATTTATTTTATGATAAGGTGGTGTGTTGCATTGGTCTACATATTTTCACATGTGACTGTGTTAATAATGTCCCCCTATTCAAAATAAAGTTTGCATTTATGAAAAAATATTCTGATATATTTATATATCATACACAATTACAGTTGATTGGAAAGAATACTTAACATTTTAATTTGGTTACAATGAAACTTATTTTGTGAAATGTGTCTTCCGATATATACAATATTTTTTCATAAACACAGTGCATGGGAATGAACACTTGAACTAGAAGAAAATACTATATTTCTTACAATGGTAATGATTTAACACCCATATTCATAAATTCATTTTAAATAAATCTAAAAATCTAGATTTTTTTTTCATTTATACATTCAAATTCATTGCACTAAACATAAACAAATACGGGTGTTAACGGTTAGTTTAAATGGTTTAAATAAAAGGATGTTTTTATTCTCAGCCTGATTACTGAGTGTTCATTCCTATAATCTTAATAGGAAATAGAAATATTGTACAAATTATTATTTTTTGGCATACCTATAGTACAAAATGTACAAGAACAATTTCATCAAGCGTAACACTTAGGCAGACGATGAAGATACTCTATCTCTTGTGTGTGGAAATAGCTTGACTGATTTCAACAATAGAATATCCTATCAGCAAAACTACTTTCCACTTTTCTGAAGTTTTTATTTTAACCATATTAAAGGTTTCCACATGGTTTGGTTGGATTTGAAATCTAAAGTAATTGCGACCAATGTCGAGGGCAAAGTCTAGTATATTTTTTAAAAGAAGATTTTGCCTTTGCAAACTTTTAGCCACTAAAATATGTACAAACAATTTGTTATTGACAATAATTTTGGCATTTCAATAAAATTTTTGCTACCCATTTTTTATTATGTTATTTATTTTTTATTTTACCCAATCTGAGATCTGAAAACACTTAACTGACATAAAACTAAAGCATCCCTAAGGAATTTGACTATTTACTTTCCTTTCAATATTTGAAGGTATCTTTATAAAAGCAAAATATTAAAATTCCTATTTAAAAAAAAGTTAATTATCCTTAACAAAATAAATATAGGGCTTGCTATAGTCTAAGTCTATCTCACACAGCATAGATATATAAGAAAAATATACGGAAATACAAAATTTTTAGTCATCATACTTATAAGATCAAATACCTATACATGATTGCAAGATAGTATATTTAAACCTTTTAATAATGTTGATAAATAATGCATATTTTTTCTATGACACATCCCAAACACTTAGGCCCGTATGATAGACAGATTCTCAGTTATTAATCTAGACTTGAGCTTAGTTAGAAAGGGATGTATATATATAGCACATAGCGACATCCCCTTCTATCTGTACTCAAGTAAATATCAACACTTAGTTGTCATTCTGTAATAAGGACCTTAGACCCATACCACCTTATTAATAAACAAAGAATAACCTTGGATTAGTTACTTCACATTTTGTGTCTCATTAAATCACAAATTTCATTTGAGCGATATGAAGAAAACACGGCATAACTAATCTAAACCTATTCCTCATTTATTGATAAGGGAGTAAATGTGTGAAGTAGACTTGGACAAAGTTTCCTTGTTTACAGATCATAATTTTTAATCACATAATCCACTGATTAGCAAAACAATGTACTGTACAGGTTAATCATACAAAACAATAGGGATGACGACTATTTTTTTTTTCTTTGTTTATCAGGTAGATTATCGAAAAGTATTGGACACGTATTTTTTCTTTTTTCACATAATATAAACGTTGCAGAGATATTTTGATTTGAAAAGTCGCATGACATCTCGTTTTGGTACAATATTCACTTAAAAGTGACGTCACGGGCCCCTACTCCCAAACTTTGACGCGCTATAACTTTGTCATTTTTTGGTTGATTGCCCAAAGAAAAAATACGTGTCCATTATTTTTTGATCATCTAACTGACAGACTAAATAGAATTTCGTTTACTGTACCCCGTCATCACCCCTATTGCATTTATTCCAGTCTTACGACTTTTGTTTGTTATTTCAATCATCTTTTATTTGCAAAACTAAAAAGAAAACATCTAAGACACTTGGCGATTTTGTAAATTCAGAGTTATTTATCTGAAAATCCATTCAGTACACTTTCCATTGCTTTTTAACACAACACTATAATCAATTTGTTGACGTTCAAATTATCACTGTTCAAGTCTAAAGGGAGACTTAGCACTTTACACTTCACTTATTATATCTAAGACAAAGTCCTCGGTGCATCGTTAAGTCTTCAAATACACTGTACAAGTTTACTTTAGCCAGCTAAAATGATGGCTCTGCTTCATTCATGCGTATAGAAGATCAACTGAGGATTGGAATCGTCTGGTGACATTTCCAATTGTACATATTGAGGTGTGGTTCGTGCTGATTCATATGTGTTACCACTGTTGCGGGATAGGGAGTTTCTTGATCTGAAAAATGGAAATAAATGTTATTTTGATTCATTATCATTGGCCTATTAATGTTCCCACTGCTGCAGTACAGGTTTTCCCTATGGATGGGATAGGGATATTTGGCCATGACCCACTACGCAGGCCCAGTGCGGATTAGTGGATGCTAACGACTGCAAAAGCAGCCGGGATCAACGACTTCACGTGCCTTCCAAAACACTTCGGAGGAACTCGAGATAGAAAATTTTTGGTCACCCATCCAATGACCAACCATTAAGAAAGTTCTTAACTTCAACAAGTTACTCTTTTTCATTGGTGCTAGTTAATTATTTGTAGATTATGTTGGACATTGATAATAGAGGGTCTTAAAAAGTGTATTATTTACATTACTGTTCCTACAAAAAACAGAATAGAGTTGTCAAATGCATTGACAAAAGCCAATAACTTGGCTTTAGCATGCCCGAGTGATGACTGGTGCTAATTAAACATTTGTTGATTGTCTTTCGTTATGTTGATTAGAAGTTTTTTTTTCTACAAAACAGAAGTGTCAAATGCCTAGCCAAAATCTACTATGTAGGCTTTGGCTTACTTATTGACTATTTTTGATTTACTAGATCCATTGCACATTGAGGAGTCCTACAAAGCACCACAATGGGTCCCAAATGTTTCTCTCTAAAAACAAAGAGTGTCAACTTCTACTCACTTAGCTTTAGCATGCGTTAATATATGAGACTTCAGGTTAGTGCTTTGTGCGAACTTCTTGTTGCATCCGTCAAACGGACAGACGTACGGACGGTCCCCTGTGTGGATGCGAACGTGGGTTCTGGAATAAACAATCATGATATGAAAGTCTTTTTGCATGAATCATAATTTGTCCAAAGTCTTGGTAAAAGAATATACAGTTCTATATATTCTTCAAAATTATAAAACAATAAAAAAAATACAATGCCTTTTGATTGTCATTTGGATATTATGGATTATTTCAAAGTAACAGATGGTAAGAATGAAGTGAAAAAAGACTAAGATGATATAATTAAGGGTCAATCAACTATTATACCCACAGTCTGTTCTCCCTGACATTTTCTTTTCAAATAGTTTTCGTAAGAAAATACAAAATACAATATTGTAATACGATTTACTATTTAATTTATTACTACATAAGTTAGCTTCATAAATCAATGGTAAAAATAAATAAAACCTTTTTCGTAGTTCCATATAGTCTGACTGTCCCCAGTGACTTATACTTTGTTCATAATCACGAAAATTTTGAATTTTTATACGTAGGCCCATTGGTGGGCCACAGGCCTTCCCTATGGCTGGAACAGGGAGATTGGGCCATGACCCATAACGCGGGCCCAGTGCGGATTGGAGGGTGCTAAAGACTGCAGATGCAGCCGGGACCAAACGTGTCAAACGAAGCACGGAGGAAGAACTCAAGATAGAATAATTTTGATCACCGATCCAATGACCGACCATTGCGAAAGTTGCTTAACTCCAACGATCGGAGCCGTACGTGCTAACCATCTGCACCATTGAGCTCATCATATCCTTACATTACATACATTTTTAGTTTTTCTCAAGTAGAGTGAAATAGCCTATAGCATAGCACATTGAAGAGGAGTCTCACCAGGTATTATGATAATGCCTTATTTATTACGAATTGAATTACGATAGTATCAAATGCCTTATCAAATTCTACTCAGTTGGCTTTAGCGTGCGTACAATTTTAGATTACTGCTAAATAAACTATTTGCTCTTCATTATGATACAAATTTAACTTAAGTTTAAATCTAAAGAAAATATAACTAGAAAAAAATCCACGCGGACCAGGCAGCAGACGGGACTCGAACCCGCAACCTTCGCTATCCGGGCGAATGCCGCCTTGCAGCTGCAAGGCTAAGGCTAAGAATGGCTAAGAGAATTTCGACGCGGCCATCAGGGCCGCGGTAGCATACTTGGTCAGTGCATTCGCCCGGATAGCGAAGGGTGCGGGTTCGAGTCCCGTCTACTGCCTGGTCCGCGTGGAATTTTTTCTAGTTATATTTTCTATAGATTTAAACATCAAGCAGTTACATGCTTAAAAAATAGAAATTATAACTATACTTAAGTTACTTAAGCGCGTTAAAAATGCAAATATTGCTTGGTCTCAAACTTTTTCTACAAAAATCACAACAATGTGTCTGTCTAATCCCTTATCAAAATCCACTCACTTTTCTGTCTTACGTTATTATGTACAACTTTAAATTGACTATTGTTGATTTTCTAGATCCTAGCACATTGAAGAGGAGTCCTACAAACCATTATGGGGCCCAAACTTTTCTCGCGAAAAATAAAACTGTCATAATCCCTTAAAAAATACTAAATACTTGTCTTTGGCTTACGTATTGAATCAACAATCGCATATCAAACTCACCTAAGATTGAAATCCAGGGAGAATCTCTTACCGCAGCCTTCAAATGTGCACTGGAACGGTTTCTCACCGGTGTGGACTAACTGATGCCTTTTAAGTTTAGAACTTTCTACAAACGCTTTACCTGAATAACACAAAATAATCAATATTAAATGTATTTTTATTTTACTATCTTAACTATACTCTATTCAACTTCCTCTGAGATGAAAAGTAAATAAGTAAATCAATGATTCTAAAAGTTTTTTTTTATTAAGAATAAAGATGGTTGGTGTAACCAGACTGATTACAAAATTTCACATTTCAGCATAAATTATTTGGTTCATATACTTTTCAATTTCATCATCAGCCTATTAACGTCCCCACTGCTGGGGCACAGGCCTTCTCTATGGATGGAAAAGGGAGATTGGGCCATGACCCACCACGCGGGCCCAGTGCGGATTGGCGGGTGCTAACGACTGCAGATGCAGCCGGGACCAACGGCTTAACGTGCCTTCCGAAGCACGGAGGAACTCGAGATAATAAATTTTTGGTCACCCATCCAATGACCGACCACTGCGAAAGTTGCTTAACTTCAACTCGCAGCCGACCGCGCTAACCAACTGCGCCAATGAAGAATTCATCATAATTGGTTCATTAATTCAAACAAAAAAATATAAATATACATCATAACTGGTTCATGGATTCAAGCATAAAAAAATATAATTTTAATGCTTGAATCAATGAACCAATTATGATGAAATCTGGTATGCGACCATTCATTTAGTATAATTACATATTTATAATACGAAAGACGATTTAGGGGGGGGGGGGGGGGTCATGTCTTATTTTCTTACAAGGGGGAGGAAGTCTCCATAGTTCTTACGTAAGATCACAAAAATGAGTAAAAGTTAAATTATACTGTGAAAAAGCGCATGAAAAATAAACATTCCATAAAAGGATGAAACCCTTTCGTCAGCCTATTAATGTCTCCAATGCTGGGGCACAGGCCTTCCCTATGGATGGAATAGGGAGATTGGGCCATGACCCACCACGCGAGCTCAGTGCGGATTGGCGGGTGCTAACGACTGCAGGTGCAGCCGGGACCAACGGCTTAACGTGCCTTCCGAAGCACGGAGGAGCTCGAGATAGTAATTTTTGGTCACCCATCCAATGAACGACCACTGCGAAAGTTGCTAACTTCAACGATCGCAGCCGAACGCGCTAACCACTTGCGCCATCGAGCTCCTCCTCTCTCATCTCATCAGCTCATCGAGATGGAACCCTTTAATATAACGTAATTCTTACCGCATTCAGCACAAACGTGCACTCTCGGCCCGTGCGTGTGTAAATGTTTCCTCATAGCAGAATTGTCGCGGAACATTTTAGTGCAGCCCTTTTGTGGGCAAGCTGAAAAGAAAAAAAAATAAGAATAAAATAAATACATATATACTTAAGGAGTGCTTGCAGGAATAGGCTAGTTGACTCATGTCGAATTGTATTAAATTAATGTTTATTTCTTAAAGTATTTGGTCTAAGAAACCTAAATATATCGATTTCACTTCATAAAAGCAGAAGATTGCTGTAGAAATTTAAAGTAAAGCTAAGTTAGGCAATAAAAACATGGTTAAAAGCCCTCACCTATAGTTCTGTCCGATGATTCTGGCGATGGTTTCTTTAGGCGTATCTTGTGTCCGGGTCTAGCAAATTCTGCTAACTGTTTCGGGTCTGACAGATCTAATCCTGTAGGGGAAAAAAAGAGATTTTTTAGCATTTTCTATAATTATGACGAAGACAAAATGATTTCGTATTGACAAAGTAACAATATAATTAGCGCTAGCCACCTGCGCCATCGAGCTCCTCCATTTCGTTATACGCCTTGCATACCCTAGGTATGGGACAATGAATCTCTTAGTTTGTTTTGTGACTCAGTATATATTAAACATTTTGCGTACTTTATAGCGCGGGTATCTACTGCAATTCCAAAGTAATAATAATAATAATCCATTTATTCATAAACAAAATTACAAAATAATATAACAGTCACCCATACTAGGCGAAGCCCGTCCCATGGGGGAAGTAAATAATTAACAATATATCATTTACGCCCTAAAAATACAAACAACTAAAAAAATAGATACATTGGTGTTAGTACGCGCGTGTGTCTGTATGTATGTATGTATGTGAGTATTTTGTATGTGTGAGTGTGTATGTTACTGTGTGTATATGTATATTCAACTCATTATCATTAAAAGATTCTTTGCTCTGCCATACGACCATTTAAATAACGTTTTTGAGATGTTATTTCGCATCTCCCGAACGGAGCTGTGCTTGAGATTCGTTATGTTAACTAGTTGGTTATAAATGTATGGAGAGAGAAAGATTCCGAAGCGTTTAGCAATAGAATTAGATACTTATAGAGATACTAGCTGTCCCAGCGAACTTCGTACCGCCATAAAAAAATAGGGGTTGGTGATAGAAGGGTGAAAATTTAAGGTTGTATGTATTTTTGTATGATGTATCATAAAAAAAAATATCTAAAATTGAAAAAAAAGGGGTGGATTACCCTTAACATTTAGGGGGATGAAAAATAGATGTTGTCCGATTCTCAGACCTACCCAATATGCACACAAAATTTCATGAGAATCGGGAAAGCCGTTTCGGAGGAGTTTAACCACAAACACCGCGACACGAGAATTTTATATAGTAGATACGCACCTGGCATAGTCTCGTTGCCCAGTATATTCTTTTTGCCGGTCATATATTCCGTGTAGTCGGGGTCTGGTTCAGGATTCGAACCGTCATCTAAAAGTAAACACAAATATTTGTTAAGGATATAGAATAAAATCTTGTCAAAATCTTTAATGTTTTATTGTTTTGAAGGTGTTTCATAATATGAGTTTTTAAAATGTCTTCACACTAAAAGGAGTAGAAAAAAAAATCAACTGCTAGATTGTCACTATTACCGAAACTTGTAGAATTTACTAAAATGCAATAACTTATTAATGTAATTATTTTTAATTTGTAATTTTAATATTGTAATTTTTTGTTGACATTGTAATTTTGTATTTATTTAAATTATTTTGTTGTTGACATTTGCAATTTTGTATCTATTTTATTTTTGATCGTAATTTGTATGCTGTTATTATTATTATTCTTCTTTTTATGTAATTTATATGGCTAAATGGCTGAAATAAATTAATTGAATTACGCCGTGAATTGAAAACATTTAATCAACATTCGTAAGTATCTAATAGCCAAAACTAAATTGTTATATATCACTTTTCTTTGAATCATCATCAGCCTATTAATGTCCCCATTGCTGGGGCACAGGCCTTCCCTATGAATGGAATAGGGAGATTGGGTAATGACACACCACGCGCGCCCAGTGCGGATTGGCGGGTGCTCACGACTGCAGATGCAGCCGGGCTTAACGTGCCTTCCGAAGCACGGGGGAACTCGAGATAGAAGATTTTTGGTCACCCATCCAATGACCGACCTTTGCGAAAGTTGCTTAACTTCAACGATCGCAGCCGAACGCGCTAGCTAGCTCCTCCTTTCTTTGAATATTTGTCGAAAAACAAGCCTTATAACTACTAAACATACCAAGTAAAAAATTAAATGTGCTTTATTCTGCTCAAAATTAGGTCTAAAATTGCTCACCATCATCATCTCCCGTCGCCAAAATGTTATTTGTTAATAAGGAGATCTTATAACCAAACATGCTGTTCGATAGCTTAGTGTCTTCTAAATGTGGATTTCTCAATAAAAATCGGATATTTAGATTGTAGAATATTATTCATAGTAAAATACAGATCTTATTAAAATTATGTGCGTACGTTGTCTTTTTGAATTCGAATGCAAGAGGAAGAGTGAATCTATATAAATCAAAATGAGTGAATGTAGTAACGAATGGGTACGAAAATGAATGTATGAACGGACGATGATGATGATGGACCGATTGCAGCTTCTCTCTTCGAAGGATAGATGGCGGTAACACATGCCAAGTAAAAATGTCCTTTATTATACAAGCTTCAAGGTCTATAATTACTCACTAACATAGCTATTTGTTGATAAATAGCCTGTAGGATAACCGATTATACGAGCCAAGTAAAATGTCCTTGTTAACGATTATTTATTTATACTTAATGCACAAGTGTACAAAGGCGGACTTAATGCCATAAGCATTCTCTACCAGTCATCCATAGGGTGTTGTGGACAAATAGTGCTAGGGTGCACAACTTAGATGAAAAAAGAAGACGAACAGATATAAATACGAAGTAGTCATACATATAATTACACATCTATATATATAAAACTCAAAGGTGACTGACTGACTGACATAGTGATCTATCAACGCACAGCCCAAACCACTGGACGGATCGGGCTGAAATTTGGCATGCAGGTAGATGTTATAACGTAGGCATCCGCTAAGAAAGGATTTTGATCAATTCTACCCCCAAATGGATAAAATAGGGATTGAAAGTTTGTATGGAACTTGTCAATTTTAAACCGATTAGGCTGAGACTTTGCATGCAGGTATAAGAAGAATCATAGATGAATGTCATTGTGTATAATACAAGCCTGAGAACAAAATATAGCCGCTAGTACATAGATAAGTACTAACATATAAATTCACACATATACATACATATATAAACATACATACTAAATAAATACATAATAACGATTAGGTTCAAAATAACTTACCATCGTCATCTCCCGTGGCCCACATGGTGACACTGAACTCCCCTTCCATGGTTTTGATTTGGACTTGCTTTTGTTCCCATCTGCGAGTGCCTCTACCAGTTCCAGAAGTCTCCATCAAACCCATGGGAACTTCGCCTGGGAACAAGAGGGAATTAGTGAATACAGGGTGTTGTAAATGTACAGATATAATAAAATGGTAGGAAAGTCAAAACTGTACATTGAATATTTTTTTTAAAGATTACTTGGAGTGTGATCTACAATCGATACCGAAGCCAAATATATAGTTTTTAGAATTTTTGTCTGTATGTATGTCCGGGATAAACTCAAAAAGTACTGCATGGATTTACTTCAAATTTGGCACGAATATTATTAAGAAGTCGGGTCAACATATAGGCTGCATATTATCACGCTATCACCTACGGGGAACGAGCAGTGAACCCTATTGGGGTCAAAAAGTATGTGCAAATAACTAACTCCACGCGCACGAAGTCGCGGGCGGCCGCTGGTGAAACATATAAAAAAAACGTCTGCAGTTAAAAAAATTTACCTAACAGTAAAAAAATGTATACATTTGTTATGGTCTAATTAAGATCTTTCAAATTATACCTTTAATGTAATAATTAGAACACTTTTTTGTTGACATAAATGTCATTTTGACATTGCTGTTATTTCAATTTTAACAGTTTAGGCATTCTATGTTACCCGGGATGGTGAAACGATTCTAATGATACCACACACATGTAAATCGGTTCAGGCGTTTAGAAGTCATGGTGGAATAAAGAATTGTACATACATACATGAACTCTGAATTAATTACATTCTTATTTAGGCAGTCGTTTAGAAAGACCTTCATCATCATCACCAGCCTATTAATGTCCCCACTGCAGGGGCACAGGCCTTCCCTATGGATGGAATAGGGAGATTGGGCCATGACCCACCACGCGGGCCCAGTGCGGATTGTCGGGTGCTAACGACTGCAGATGCAGCCGGGACCAACGGCTTAACGTGCCTTCCGAATCACGGAGAAACACGAGATAGAAGATTTTTAGTCACAGATGCACTAATTTTATTTAAAAGATATATTAATTTCTATTCAATAAAAGTCTTTCGAAGGTAGCTCGACAAAGTAAATAAAGTCATTATTCAGACGACGCAGCCTGTAAAGGATGACAAAAGTCAATGAATAAATATAATCAGTGCATCTTTACCGTTGAGGCGCTCGATGGCGCAAGTGATTAGCGCGTTCGGCTGCGATCGTTGAAGTTAAGCAACTTTTGCAATGGTCGGTCATTGAATGGGTGACCAAAAATTTACTACTCGAGTTTCTCCGTGCTTCGGTGGGCACGTTAATCCGTTAGTCCTGGCTGCATATGCAGTCGTTAGCACCCACCGATTCGCACTGGGCCCGCGTGGTGGGTCATGGCCCAATCTCCCTATTCCATCCATAGGGAAGGCCTTTGCCCCAGCAGTGGGGACATTAATAGGCTGATGATGATGATGATGACAACATACCGTTTAAACTTGTTTTATTTAATTTTATTAGTGATATTGAATCTAAAGTTTACAAATATTGTTGGTTTAAAACAATAATAATAAAAAAATGTTAAATAAAAGTTTACTAGAAAAAAAAATCTACGCGGACCAGGCAGCGGACGGGACTCGAACCAGCATCCTTCGCTATCCGGGCGAATGCACTGACCATTATGCTACCACGGCCCTATTAACCGCGTCGAAATTTTCCTAGCCTTAAGCTGCAAGGCAGCGCCATCTCTTCGCATTGTAGGTAACCCACAATCTAGCAGTTAAATGCTTAAAAAAAAATCATAAATGTTAAATAGTTCACGAGACATTATCAAGCCTCGATTTCTAAAGCAGGTAGGCTGAAGACATAAAATAAATGAATCCTATTAATATTACAAATGAGAAAGTTTGTATTTTTGTTCTCAATCAAGCAGAAACTGTTGGAACGGATTTAGATGAAATTTGGCACACGTATAGTTTATTATCTGGATTGAGACATAGAATGCTTTTTACCCACGAAAAATGTCAGGATCCTGAGGGATTTTCAAAAAACTAAAGTCAACGCGAACGAAGTCACGTGCGGAAGCTAGTAGGTATAAAACAAAAAGATTTTGCTAATTATATTACGGGACTTCTAAAGCTTTTAGTCGTCTGAAGATATAAATAAATGTATTATGAAATAAACATGTTCATATTACCTTCTGTCGACTCACCTATTGGCATTAGGTGGTGGATGTTGTTGTTCGAATTGTGGTTGGTGGAAGCCCGAGGTCGCCCTCGACCCCTTCTGGAATCAACCGGGAGTATGTAGCGAATAATTAATGAAACCACGATGTAAGGGAGGGGGGTCCATAAAAATCACGTAATATCTAAAGGGGGGATGAGGGGTGTAGTATTTCCGTGGTCCGAGGATACTGTACATTAAATAATGTTCATGTATTAGTATAAAATACACGTGATATACGAGGGGAGGGGGATCAACAAATGCAAAGAAAAACATCACGTGATTAATGGACGGCCCCTAAGTGAAACTTTTTTTAATACTTAGTTGATATGTGACCCTGCCATTTAAAAATGGAAAACAAAATATAAGGACCTTATTTACGAGAGCTTGAGGTATAGCAGCAAAACCTCTCTATATCCTTCTAAACCTTGGCCTGTCGAAAACTGCAGTAAGATTAATTTTGGAACGCGTAACTAAGGCTGCGCTAGCAGGCTCGTTCGGTTCGCAAACGTGGAAGTTAAACAACAATGGTCAGTCATAGGGGTAACCTTACTATCTCGAGCTCTATACTTGAAAGAGAGAGGGGGAGGGAGAGAGATGAGAGAAAGAAAGAAAGGGAGAGAAGTGAGATAGGGAGGGAGGGAGAGGGATAGAGAGATAATATAATAAGACTAGATAGAGTCAGAATACTTATAAGGAAAGCATGTAAAGCCGTTGATCCCGTTTGCACATGCAGTCTTTAGCTCCCACTAATCCGCACTGGGCCTGTAGTGGGTCATGCACGGCCTCTACTCATTTAAGCCTTAAGAGTTACTCCTTGATCATGGCATCATGATTTTAATTGCTACAAATCTATTATTATGTAACGACTTTTTATGTAAAATTTGACTTTTTTTTATTAAAAATTGACTATTTTAATATTTAAAAAACGTGTTATAGTAATTGATTTAATAATGATGTTCAATGTTTAAATTAATGATATGATAATATCGATATTAAGGAAAATTAACTGCTTTAAATTATTTGCATGCCTACTTGATTAAGGTCCATTCTGTTTGCTCTAATTTATCACACAACCACCTTTTGTATACAATATTAGCAAATATAGAATCTTTGGCATTTGCAACAGTGCTAAAATATCATCGGGGAATCACCAAGAAACAAGGAACATGGTATCAATCCCACTTATTACACACACAGCCACCCTTACGTGTTTAAAGTACACCTATGTGACTTTTGCAGAATTGTGGTAAATGCAAAAAAGCCATTTACAATACAATAAAAACAATCTTTATTGAACACCGTGAAAAACATTGAACATTAATCACAAAATCATCTTGTACAAGTAGGGTTGCTAGATCAGCATTTAGTAACTCCGGGACACCCCCCCCCCCCCCCGAAAAAATAAAGCATCAAATCCAACCCCCCGTCACCCCCCAGAATTAAAACATCAAGCAGCATTTATTTTGTTACGAAACTAGCACATTATCGGAATCCGGTACAATAAGGTCTAATTACTGGACATGGGACAAGACGCAAAATTTCGGAACAATCCCGGATTTCCCGGCCATCTGGCAAGCCTAAGTACAAGTGATGCAATGGGCGGTCTTATCGCTTAAAGCGATCACTTCCAGGCATGCTTTGTACAACCAATACAGAAGAAGATTAGAGAAGCACAATTTTCGACTTTCAAAGAATTTCTCCCAGTAGCCGACCACTGTGACTCATTCCTAAAACATTTTTTTTGGATAGTCAGAAATAATATATTGTTTTAAACTCTCTTTGTACATTGAAACAAAGCAAACAGTAGCATGCCGAACGAGGAAACACATAAAAGTAATCAAAAACAACGATACGCAGTAATCAGCCATCGCGGAACATTTGATTGATTCTGGTCCTAACCACTGGATTGAGTTCTATAACCCACAGATTATCTCGACAGAACGCCACTACATACCAAGATTGGTCAGAAAAGCGATTGAAATAACAAAACATAAAAAATTCAATCGTGAGGACGGGTTTAAATAGTCGAGTGTCTGGAATCCTGTGGTTCGTATTTGTAAAACCGGAAATATTGAAAAAAGTGTCGTGTCGCGATCCGATACTGTAAGTGTTTTGTGTCAAAAACAGTTTTGAGTGAATAGTGAGAATGTGAACAGTGGTACGGGTATCTAACGCAATAAAATACTTCCCCGGAGGGTAGACCGATATGTCTGGCAATAACAGCCTACCTGCAATTACTTCAGTTACTCCGTGATCATGGCGCTTGCAACAGTGCCGAAATATCGGAAACTCGCTAAAAACAAGGTACACGGTAACAATTCCGTAACTATAACTTATATTACTATAAGTCTGAAATAAATTTCACATTACCCACCTGCTAGTACATGGCGGTGTCTGATAAACCGGATCATAAGGACTATCCACGCTGGAGTGGAGCACTTCTTCACCCGATATGCCAGGCAATATCACCTCCTCACTGCCAACTGAAATTTTATAATCTGTCAGCCGGAAACGCCGACACGATTTGAGCGGTTGGTTATTTGACAATACATCGGAGAAATATCCATCTATTTTATCATTAAGTTAGGTAGTTATATTATAATTCTAAGTAGTGTTAAAAAGGAATCTTAGAACTAAACTGCAGCGTCATCTAACGGCTCCAGTAGCGAATTTAAACCAATCAGGCAACAACTAGAAATGAATTTTATTGAAATCAATTCAGCTGATAGGCGGTGATTTATAGACTCTAACCTATTTCACTCAAATCAAGTGTTTAGTGGAGGAGCTCGATGGCGCAAGTGGTTAGCGCGTTCGGCTGCGATCGTTGAACTTAAGCAACTTTCGCAGTGGTCGGTCATTGGATCGGTGACCAAAAATTACTATCTCGAGCTCCTCCGTGCTTCGGAAGGCACGTTAAGCCGTTGGCCTCGGCTGCATCTGCAGTCTTTAGCACCCACCAATCCGCACTGGGCCCGCGTGGTGGGTCATGGCTAATCTCCCTATTCCATCCATAGGGAAGGCCTGTGCCCCAGCAGTGGGGACATTAATAGGCTGATGATGAAGTGTTATTTTGGCGACAACAAGTTGTATATTTGAAAGACTGCGTACATGGGATTTTCCATCTTTTATGGTACTCTTAATCTTTAAACTAAAATTAATTAAATCGGTTCAGAGTTAGCTATGATAGCGTAACAGACAAAGAAATAGAATTACTATCAAATCTATAATTTAAGTAGAGATATTTAAAAAAATCTGAACTGAGTATTCTTATACATGCAGAAGTTTGTTTGTTTTCGCTAAGCTTTCAAGCTTTAACAACTGAATCGATTATGCTGAATTTTGGTATAGAGATAGATTGGGGTTTCGGAGACTACTATTTTTCACAAATATAGAATTTGAAGGGGGTGAAAGTCCTTATGCGAAACCAAACTACAACGTCGACGAAGTTGCGTCCACCCGCTATAATATAGTATGGTAACCATGTTTTCTTTTTAATAGACTATTTTCTCTCTAGAGAAAAATATATCATACTAAAAATAACAAAAAAAAAAGTGTGCACGGATCACATATCTGAGGTGAAACTTCTTTTCTTAAATAATCTAACATTAGGCGGTGCATAAGGCATAGGGGAATAGAGCAGCGCAAGCATCATTCATATAAAATATATACAGTGTAAACTCCATTTAACGACAAACTCCCTAAAGCGTCGAAATCACTCGTCTTTGGTTGGTTTAGTTTGTTTTCCATACAATGATACACTCCATATAGCATTTACACCCACTCTCAATAACGACGACAATTAAGTAATAAAAAGTACTTTTTAAGTTGCCAAAATTAGTTAAAATCGCAGCTGTGTACCATTCTTTTGTCGCTTTATTATCCTAGCCCATAATAAACTCGACTGTCGGGATCATGCAAACCAAAATTTCATAGAAATTCGTTCTTTTGTTTACAAATTGGGATTACACGTGTAGACGGTTGTTGACCATGATTAAAAAAAATATAATACAACAAAATTACTGGTGCAGCAAAAGACGTCAGACAAAAATAACAGAATATACGCAATGGCGTTCAAATAAGATTATTTTTTATGTACATAATTTTGATTTTTCTTCTTTGCATTTGACGACCACTCTGTATAACGCCATAAAATGTACAGCTTCTTGAGTGTCGTTATATAGAGTTTACACTGTATATATTATCGCGTGTGACGCTCGTTTCAGCCGTCGTCGAGATACCCTCCAACTTTCATGCTCGTCGGGAACATCTGCTCACGCATCCCACATATATATGTACATATATGCGTCATGAGTGTCACATATATTTAAACATATATGTATGTACTAGCTGACCCAGCGAACTTCGTACCGCCATAAAAAAATTTAATTAAAAAAACATTGTCCAGCGGACCAAATTGTGAATCTAAACCATTCTCAGATCCCCTTGAACACACACAAAAAATTTCATCAAAATCGGTCCAGTCGTTTAAGAGAAGTTCAGTGACATACACACTCACAGAAGAATTATATATATAAAGACTAGCTGACCCAGCGAACTTCGTACCGCCCTAAAAAAAATAGGGGTTGTCCAGCGGACAAAATTGTGAATCTAAACCATTCTCAGATCCCCTTGAACACACACAAAAAATTTCATCAAAATCGGTCCAGTCGTTTAAGAGAAGTTCAGTGACATACACACTCACAGAAGAATTATATATATAAAGATATAGACTTTTCCAATTTACACCCTGTCCTAAAAGAAGTTTCACTTCAAAAATATATATATAGAAACATACCTTCTTCTAGGTGCTGCATGCCAATGACTTGCTCCTCCACCTCTTCATACTGATCATCCGTGATGTACTCCTCGTATTGACCAGTTTCTATCTCTTCATACTGTTGGGGGAAATGCAACATCAATTTAATGTTACATTGTTAAGCCTTTAATTGCTGGATGTTTAAATCTAAAGAAAATTTTACTAGAAGAAATTCTACGTGGATTATTGTGGCTACTGAATAATAAAAATTTTAAAAAAAGGGATGAATCCATACAGATACAAGTAAGATACCAAATTCCATCAACCGTTCTTTTACAGAATGTTTCTACTTCCATTTTTTAAACTTTAATGTTGAGAACCCAAATATGTATAATTCTGCACAGTTTGTGTTATAATTGTCTAATAGTCGATGAAAAGGCATATCCCAGTGTTAAAGCGACAGAAAGAAGAGTGGTTTTATCAGCTAAATAGGTATTGAAAATTGGTATATAGGTCTGGAATGTTTTATGCTACAGCCACACTATCGCGAAGATTTGCCATTTTCACGACAAGTCGTGCCAAGCAATAGTCACATTTCAGAACAATTGGTTAGATGCGTCGTAAAAAAGAGCAAACATGGTAGGAAAGGTTTTTACCTTTACACCAACTTGGTCCTCCCCGTCTATTTCGACCATGGATCCGTGGGTGCCTATTTCCACCTCGCACATGATCTCCTGGTTCATCATTTTGAACCAAGCCTCCGACCTGAAACCAACCAAAAAGAAAACAGATTTAATTTATTGTATGGGTAATCTACATATTCCAGAATCATCATCATAATCATTTAATGTCCTCACTGCTAGGGGATAGGCCTTCCCTATGGATTGAATGGGGAGATTAGGCCATGACCTGCCACATGGGCCCAGTGCAGATTGGCAGGTGTTAACGACTGCAGTTGCAGCCGGGACCAACAGCTTAATGTGCCTTCTGAAGCAGTAAATATTAGTATGAAGTAGATAGTAAATATATAAACAGTAGAAGATCTACAGTTCCAGAATATGGATTCTAAAATATGTATATACTGTGGAATGGGATGGGATAAATGATAACCACAGAATGCAGGAGCTGTCAACTTTTATTTCAATCCTATCCCTCAATTATTACTATTTGAGAACAATGCAAAGGTGCAGAAAATTAATATTACTAAAATTAGATATTTGCAATCCAAACAGAGCTAAAGAACTAATCTTGTTTCGAAATTAAATAAGTGTAAAAATAATCATGAGTCAGGAACAAATATTTGTGCCCAATACACAAATAAATTTTGAGCAGTAACAAAACATAGCTAGCTTAAAATAATTAGAACTACGTATCTGAAAACCAAGAAGTCAGTAAGCGCACAGCATCAATGCAATTTTGACATTTGCAATTTTGTATTGAGCATTATGTTTTGAAAACGAAATCTGTAGAGATATATGAGTTATAGAGTATAGAGAAGTTTTCTCTTTCGTTAGTGCAGACAGGTGCATTATTTACCCCCTAGGGTAAACTCCAACTTACATAAAACAACAGAGTACAAAGAACATAAGAGTAGAAACAACATCATACTATCTTGAGCTTGTGTTTCTGCTGATGAGTAAGATTTTTAGGACTCCACAAGTCAGGACAGACAATGTGTAACTGATATTTCGGCGTTGTAAGTGTCTAATTGCTACATCAACCATTACATGCCCTTACCATGAAAGGGACAAATGCTGGTTAAGTTAATTAAAGATAACGGCTGATTGTAAGAGGAAGAAGAATGGAAATTAAAAGTCTGCTGTATACAAAAATAAAAACGAAATAGAAGTGTCTGTACTGACAGTAATTTGATCATTAAAATGTAATTTGATTTGTTCTTCGTTATGTAATAATTTCAATTAATTATCATTAGTTAATTTTGAGTTTAATAGTTACCTCACAAAGGTAAAGAAAAAGGTAATTAAATCTTAATTATTGTTTTTAGTGATTATCTTTACTGAAATTATTATGATTTAGCTAAAGTTGTATAAAACATCTAAAAGTAGAATATTTCTTAGTTCTTACACTTTCAACATCTGCCCAATGTAATGATTCAGGAATTCCATATTTTGTTTATGTTAAGATATCTTGTCATTTTATGATTGGAAAAATACAACCTATTTATTAATTAACAAACAATATTATGAAAAAAATGTTTTATGGGCTATGGAATTAACTTCAACAGGTCTTACAAATAAATCAGTCAATTGAAATATGGCTTTGTGATACCTACACTCAGTATAATTTTTTAAGCAATTGAATTAAATAGGCAGTTCTTGATAATTGACAGCACTCATCTTTTTTATTGTATGGAGGTTGATAAGGATAATGTTGTAGTCAAATTTAGCTTTTTATTTAGAGAAACATATCAATTATATGCATAAAAAACTTTAAATCTGTTATCAATACACTGTCTGCCTTAATCTTATGTGTCACTGACACTGAAAGTGGTAAACTACTTATTTATCTGTCAAACCCTGTTTATTTATTTTGTTAAAGAGCAGTGATAAAAATTATTTACTTATTTTTATTAATAGCAAGATATAGATGCAATCATATATTTTTATTGATAGATTCCTTTGACTGACTTGTTAAAAAAACTTATAATTGTACCTATATAGGTAATTACTATTTCATTCATTGTTGATAAGATCATGTAAATCCAATGACTTGGTAAACATTATAACAGCTTGAAGCAGATATAAGGCTAAACAATGTTATTTTTAGAGACAAGTTTAAACACCAGGAAAACGTGTTTGGTGCGCTGATATGGTGTAAATAGTGGCACAAAGTGCCATTAACAACAATACGTGACGTGATGTGGATATATATTATTCCAAAGCAAACGATATCATGTTTCATACAACGCAAATCAGAGTTCTTGAACCTCTCATGGACAAATAATGGAGTTTTGATTGAAATAATTTGCTTTTATCATTAAAATACGTGATAGCCCCAGCAGGTGCAGTACAATGTAGTAGAGTAAAACCGGCCGGGCTCGCATTGAACATTTTCGTGTTAATTATACAGCGACCACGCCAAACGGCAATAAGACAAATAGAATGTTCTACGACCTTCATTTACAAATGTAATGGAACTAAATTCTGATAGTAATTTCAGAGAAAATCGGAACACTTGTTATGATATGTCAAAAGTACGGAGTGTTTTGTAAAATAATTTTACCTCTATTTCACTTGTAACAAAAGCTGCACGGCCCCCTGGAGACAAATATGGACTGCTGCGTAGGCACACAATTTTTCCGCTCAATTATATCCGCAATCAATGCCACAGTTTTCAGTGAAAAAAAGTTCGCTATTTAGGCTCAAAAATATTTGAAATTTACGCGAAAATGTTTATAAAATATGTCCGACTAAACATGGCGTCCAAAGATGTCCGACCAAATTCAATATGGCGAAGCAAAATGGACGCCTGCTCCTCAGCCGCTCGCACCGGAGAACTCCGCTCAAGAGAGAAAAGCCGCCATACACGACACCACATTAAAAAATATTTGACTGAATGTTGCCATATCAAAATATTTACCGTGGGACAACTTATTAAATCATTTTTTTTTCAATACGTGTAGCTGTTAGGATATTCACCAAACTACTAAGATACTAATAAATTTCATTATAACGAAATAAAAAGTATGTTTTACCTAAAAAATCTAATAGTCAATAAAAGTGACGTTTACATGTATGGCGGCACTACATTCCTATTGCGCAGAAGCTAGCGCCATCTGTCCAAAACTTTGACGTAACAGCACCATCTCGCGGAGAAAAGTTGCTAAACGGATTTTCCCGTCTTCCTTTTCCTGTGATTATTTAACATCAGCTGTCACCTGAAAATATTGGATTTTCGCGACCTTGTGTAGATAAATCAGGATGGCAGTGCGATTGTTCTCCAAGTTGAGGGTTCTGCCCGAGATCAAGGCGACGTACGCCAGCTCCTCGGCGGCTGCGGCTGCCCCCGCTCAGCTGTCGGACTTCGATGTCCAGCACAAAACTCCAGTTATCAGGAAACAGAAGCTGATCCCGAAGGCTCAGTATGGTGGAAGGCATGCAGTAACCATGCTCCCAGGCGGTGGTATCGGTCCAGAGTGTATGGGTTACGTTAGAGACATATTCAAGTAAGTATACATAACCTAGCTGATTAACATTTATTATCTCCAGATTTCTACTAATAATTGTCAGTTTCCGTTCATTAGCTGCAGTAGATATTGATTAATTAAGTATTCCTGATGTACCTCAACATCTACAAAAGGCTATGAACAAATTCAGCTATGGCAACAATCTGAAATAAGTACCCTTTTTAACTTAGGAACATTTTCTTTCTTTTTCCAAGGTACTAAGAACCTTTCTCAACATTATTGCATGTAGCCCTGCAGAGTAAGGCTCAATATCAATTTGCAAAAAATGTTAGAATAAACTGAATGGCACTGTCCTTCAAATATATCAACTTAGATATGTTTTGTTTGTATAAATTATCAACAATATTTTTTAACAATTCGCTTTCCTCACACTCTACAGATACATTGGAGCTCCTGTAGACTTTGAAGTGATAGACATTGACCCCACAGTGGATAATGACGATGATGTGACGTATGCCATCACAACAATCAAGAGGAACGGAGTTGGGCTTAAAGTAAGAATGGATGACAGTTATAGATTGGCTATTATGCTTAAAGACAAAAAAATTAAACCTATAAAATTTTGTTCCTGAACTAGCAGCCACTGGCGACTTCGTCAACATTAACTTTTAGTTTTTTTTATTCTAAAATAAAAGATTTTTTCTAAATTTAAAGTAGCCTAAGTTACTCCTTATTACATCAGCTACTTGCCAATAAAAGTCCTGTCAAAATCGTTCCAGCCATTTCAGAGATTAGCTGGAACAGACAGACAGACAAAAATTGTAAAAAATATTATTTTGGTGTATGTACCATATATATATTCATATGCATGTAGTAAAAAGTGGTTTTTTCAATAAACAGACACTCCAATTTTATTTATACGTATAGAAAAGCACAGTTGTATAAGAGATGATATAATAAGGCCTTTAGATAATAGACAAATCAAAACTCCATCAAAGGTCCAGAAAATAACTTCACATCAGAAGATATTGTGTGAATAAAGATTACTTAGATAGCTGAAAAAACATGGATAGCACAGCAATCTTCACACGCAGAATTTTTGTGACAACTAATAATTTAGTATGTGTTGATATTATTTTCCTAGATTGATACTAAAATAAAGGTGGAAAAGTATTGTTTCTGATAATTATTCTTCAGATATACCCAAAGGGTAATGAATTTAACCCTATTAATATGCCTCTGCTGTTTGTCTGTCTGTCTATCACCGAGCTCTATATCTTGAATAGAAATAGGAAATTGTATATTTCTTAAAATTTTTAAACATGTAACTGCTAGAAGTTTAAATCTGTGTGGGTTACCTACAATGCCATTAAATGGTGCTGCCTTGCAGCTTAACAATGACTAGAGAAAATTCGACACCGCCGTCACGGCTGCGGTAGCATAATGGTCTGTGCATTCTCCCAGATAGCTATGGGTGAGGGTTCGAGTCCCGTCTGCTGCCTGGTTCTGTAATCATAATCAAAATCATTTATTCAGTTTAGGCTGTTACAAGCACATATGATTGTCTAGAAGTTACGCCATCGTTTCGTAAATCTACGGCGGGAGATCTTGTACTGAGAAGAACCGGCAAGAAACTCAGCAAGGGCTGTTTTTTTCTCCCTGTTCTATCATTTACAGAGTCGTCAAGTTGAAAAATGACTTCAGAGATGATTCATGAAGTCACCTTTCATTACATAATGTGAAATTCACCTACATTTTGATTGCTGTGTCCCACAGTATAAATACAAATAGAGTTATTTATAATAGGTGTAATTAAACATTTACATCTTAAATATCAAAGTAGTTAGGGTAGACTCATCTCCGCTGGCAGCACCCGTTCACGAGCATGACGCATGAACCAGCCATCGCTTTGCTCAACCAACAACCAACCAACCAGTTAGTAGACTTGCTTCTGAAGTTAAAATATTTTCTTCACCAGGGTAACATTGAGACAAAGAGTGAAGCAGCGTACGTCACATCGCGTAATGTGGCACTCCGCAACGAACTGGACATGTATGCTTATGTGCTGAACTGCAAGTCGTTCCCTGGTGTCGAGACGAGGCATAAAGATATTGATGTTGTCATCATCAGGTATGAAGCCAGTATGCTTATTTCATACATATACATTCTACAAATGTGCATGAAGGAGATCCAACTCCTGAAGGTACATAGGTGCCCCCAGGAGTATTAAACATTTGAAAGAAGAAATAGCAATTATAGTTATATTTTTGATAGCATAGGGTGCAGGTCGGAGTCTCGTCTGCTACCTGACCTGCGTGGATTTTTTGCTCTAGTAAAATTTGTTTTAGATTGAAACATCTAGTAGTTAAATGCTTAAAATATAAATATAACTCAAAAGAGACTAATTTTGGTATTTCACACTTCATCTGTAAAATATGTAATAGCTTGACTTATATGAAAAACAAATACTAATCGAATGTAAATACCTAATTTTTCAAAATGTTTGATCAGATGCAACTGCAGTCTTGAATCATCAAAAAATCTCACGATAAATTCATAAAGAACCTTTATATATTGTTCTTAACAGACAGAACACAGAAGGAGAATACGCCATGTTGGAACACGAGTCTGTACACGGAGTCATCGAGTCAATGAAAGTGGTAACCGCTAGTAACTCTGAGCGAGTCGCAAGATTCGCTTTCGAGTTTGCGAGGAGAAACGGCCGGAAGAAGGTAAGTGAGAACTACTAAACGCCCGAAAAAGTGTGACGTCATGTCACGAGTCACGTCATGTGACGTCACTCGTATATGAATATTCTACAAACGTGCATGAAGGAGATCCCACCTGGAGGCACCTTAAGATAGAATATTGGGTCAACACGTCTTTGATCGAAGATACAACATCTAACTTACCGCGGTAAAGCCAGATTACTCTGTCGCCGTGAAAGTTAGGATATACACAGATGGCTCCAAAACCAACAGTGGTAATGGAGCCCGTGTCTTCTCGAACGACCTGAATATAAAAATATCTGCAACCTTAGACAACAGACTGCAACATGTCACGAGTCACGTCATGTGACGTCATGTCACCAGTCACGTTATGTGATCTCATGTCAAGAGTCACTATGTGTTTTATTAGCATTTATATAATTCGCACTTGTATGAAACTAAAACACGTGTTGTGAATATAGAAAGTAGAAACATGTGGATAAATATTATAAATCGATACCCTAATTTGCTAACCTACTAACTCTGGAGCAAATTTTACAGGAGAGACTTAAAACGTCATAATAAATTTTATTTAACTCAATAAAGAAAACCAAAAATCCCGTTGGAAATTATGTTTTTTATTTATCTAAAAACACTAAAACCTTTGCTTACTATGTATTTGACTATATGTTTTAAAGTATATGATGCAATAAAGAGTATAATATAATCAAAAATCTATTTTTTTATAACCATTGGAGTTGTTAGATTTGGTTTAGGCAATAATTGAAACTAAAAGTGGAGTTGTTTGTTTTTAACTTAAACTTTAAGCAGAGTACAATCGTACAAACAATTTGTGTTTTATAAATAAAAATAATTAATTTTTCGTGTGGCAACGCATCGTAATAGGCGTGATAATCACGGGGCATAGAACTTAGTTGCTGTGGATCAGTTTCTTTTTTTCGTGATTTTTCTTCTTTCGTCATATAAGTATTTTAGGTCCTCCACCCTCACGGAGACAATTAAATTTTGTTCGCTAGTTTCTTCGCTTTGACGGGGTACTTAATTTCAATTCCACTTCGAGACCAAAGCAGCATCAACGCAGAATGGTATTGCACAAAATGCCTGCCAGAAGTTTTTTCTGGGCTCCGCGGGGCCTTCTTCACCACGACAACGAACCCGGGACCTCTCGAGTCAGCGACACCATGAAACCGGGCGTACAAACCACACGGCCACGGAGGTCGCATTTTTTTTGTTTAATAAATATTAAATATTAAATTGACCTAAACAAAGGCAAACAAATATTTTCTTTGCAGGTAACAACAGTCCACAAGGCCAACATAATGAAGTTATCCGATGGCTTATTCTTGGAGACTTCAAGACGCATGGCCAAAGAGTACCCGGATATCGAGCACAACGACATGATCATAGACAACTGCTGCATGCAGCTGGTCGCCAAGTGAGTGTTGCCAGTAGAGAAAATTTTAAAAGTTGCCTGTACAAAGAAGTTTGTCTTTTACCATTTTGCGCTTAAACAGCTAAATCGATTTAGATGAAGTTTGGTATGGAGATAGTTTAAGTCATGAGAACGCACTACTATGTTAGATTTTATACTTTAAGGGGGAGTGGAAATTTGTATAAGAAACAATTTTTTCAGCACAGACGGAAGTCGCTAATTGAATTAAATATAAGTATACCCTAAATGTTAATTTATAAAAAATACTAGAAAAATTATCGCTGCTATTCGGGCGGATGCACTAACTATTAGGCTACCACGGCCCTGGGGGCCATTCGCCTAAGGGGATTGCTTTGGAAAACGCTATCGCTTACGATTTCATTTTGTTATTTCTGACCGCCGAAGGTTTTCAAATACCTCACGCTCATTTTCTTTAATATTGTTATTACCAATGCAAAAGAAAAAAAAGAGCGCGAGGCATTTAAAATCCTCAGGTGCCTAGAAATAACAAAATGAAAATCGTAAGCATTAGCGTTTTCCAAAGCATTTCCGTTAGGCGAATGGCGCCCTGGTTGTCCGTAATTTATCTGTTTGTACCATGTTATTCTTTATTTAATCTTATAAAATTAGCCATTATACATTTTATTTGTTACATTGTCTCCATACACACCCATCAGTTCGATGTGATTGATGTTGATGATCAATCATATGGTTTACGGTTCGATCATGTCCAACAATTTATACTTTATTTATTGCGTTTATTCAGAGATTAACATTGTTAACATAAAAATAAATTAGTGTGTCCATTTTTATTACTCTTCTGACTCTGTGTGCGTTTTCGCAAAGGCCTCCTCCAAATCTTTCCATTTTTTTCGTTAAAAAAAATAAACAATTTATATAAAATAACTAGTGGTCCGCCCACGCTTCGCTTCGGTGTAGAGCTGTAGTGTGGACTAAAATTTATCTTCATATATGTATAAAAAAAACTGAAAGTGGTATATTTGCTATATTCCAAACTTCTATTGACATCACGTCACTCAATAGGGTATTTGACAAGTTTTGGAAAACGATCTCACATTACTTACCAATGTTTATGGATATTCATCATTCCCTTGTGTATTACAGTAAAAATAACTGATTCAAAAACTCAGTTTTCAAGTTGCTGCGAAAACGTTTCTCTGGGCAATATGGCGTCTCACTGGTGTGTGACGTCGCACGACTGTCATCAAAACGTCAAACGATACAATGTACTGTCACTTTGACCGGAAGTTTACTAGTGTGTGACGTCATTTTAGGCTCCGCCAATCCCAGGCGTTTTCAATCACGTGACAATAGATATGAAAACTATTATCTTTTTCGTGGGTTTTTAGTAAAATTATGATTAAATTTTCTGTAATAGTAGAAAAAGCCCTGCCAATATTCATTCTAAATACAGATACTAACAATTAGCACTTTATTTTTAATACTGTCAAATCTACTAACATTTGAAATTTATAGTATGGTATTAAAGTTCAAATTGACTTGTATTATAAGTATTATTACAAATCGTTATGGGAGTATAGGAAAGTGTTTTTTTTGGACTTTTTCAGGCAATTTTTCTAATTATCGAAATCGGTTCAGCTGTTCTCGAGATTTGCGCTTAGGAACACATTCAGCAATTCATTTTTATATTATAGATAATAATTATAGGTAGGGACTTTGTCAACGAGGTAACCGCTTTGTGGGATGTGGATTTGACGATCATTGTCCCTATAGTCTTTAGTGTGAACGGTCTCGTAGCGAAGAGTCTCAATCAACATCTAAAGAGCCTCTCGCTACAAGGTTGGTTCAAGGGGCAGACGCAAAAGGCAGTACTCCTAGACACAGCGCACATCGTCAGGCGGTTTCTTTCTCTGGGGCCCTAACCACCAGTAGCTTGGGCCTAGCTCCGCTGCTGGTGGCCTTCTAGGTTAGGTTTATATTCTATATTTATTTAAAAAAAAAACTTAATATGAAATAAAATAAATGAGATAATAATACTATGTATCTATAATACGTATCGATGTAACCACATGAGTGCAATAAATTGAATTGAATATGTGTGAAATTTCTTCCTGTATTTCTTTAGTTTGCTTAGTGCGTTCACCAAAAATCTTGACAGAGTGGATTTTTATGTTAAATTCTTAAAATTTAGTAACCAAAAACTATTTCTCTATCCACACAGACCCCATCAGTTCGATGTGATGTTGATGACCAACTTGTACGGTTCAATCGTGTCCAACGTAGTCTGTGGATTGCTCGGTGGGGCCGGTCTCTTATCGGGCAGAAACTACGGTGATCACTACGCTGTGTTCGAACCGGGCACTAGGAATACTGGTGAGTAATATATTAAGAAGGAGGAGTAGGAGGTGGTTAGCGCGTTCGGCTACGATCGTTGAAGTTAAGCAACTTTCACCCCCTTTTTTTCAACTTTCGTCCCAGAACAATATAATATTAGTATCATCATCGACCCATGCTCGTCCACTGCTGGACATAGGTCTCCCCTAATGCACGCCACTGCTCCCGATTTTGTGCTACTCTCATCCAGCCCACTCCAGCTTGTACATACATATTATGATATTAATAATTAATATCTTAAAAAAAAACGGAGTATGTAATCTTTGTTTGTTTATGTTATGGTTATGAAATCATTTTGAAAAAAAAAAAAATTTAAACTATATATTAATATAATACATTATTATTATAAATACATCTATGGCGGATTGTTAATTGCCCAAGCTATGGAAGAGCGGTGCATCCTAACACAAGCAATTTTACTGCTTGTAGGATGTACCATACTCATACCTTGTAGTAGGCTAAGTTAATGAAATAAACTAATAGGGATGATGACGGGGTACAGTAAACGAAATTCTATTTAGTCCGTCAGTTAGATGATCAAAAAATAATGGACACGTAATTTTTCTTTGGGCAATCAACCAAAAAATGACAAAGTTATAGCGCGTCAAAGTTTGGGAGTAGGGGCTCGTGACGTCACTTTCGAGTGAATTTTCCCTTATAAGTGTACTCAAACGTGACGTCATGCGACTTTTCAAATCAATATATCTCTGCAATGTTTATATTTTATGAAAAAAGAAAAAATACGTGTCCAATACTTTATAATCTACCTGATAAACGAAGAAAAAAAAATTAGTCATCATCCCTATTTTGTATTTGTATCTTCTCCCCAGGCACCGCCATCGCCGGTAAGAACGTCGCTAACCCAGTGGCGATGATCAACGCATCCATGGACATGCTGGAGCATCTGGGCCATCACTTCCACGCGGATCTCATAAAACGAGCCTTGCACAAAACCATCAATGTTGACAGAATCATGACCCCAGATGTGGGTGGCACCGCCTCCTCTACGGACGTCGTGAATGCCATAAAAGCTAACATTGGTATGGATCATTAAGTTTTTACCAAAAAAAAATGTAGATTCGTACACCCAATTCATGAAATAGGTAGAAACAGAAGGTCTGGTCTCGGTTTTCAGTTATTTATATACTAGCTAATATTGGTATGGATCATTAAGTTATTAACAACAAAAAAAATTTGTTTCGTTTTTTTTTTGTGAACAGGAAAATGTAGATTCGAACACCCAAGTCATGAAATAGGTAGATACAGAAGGTCTGGTCTCGGTTTTCAGTTATTTATACTTTTGCTCGAATAATAAGTAGATTTTTAACATTTCATAATCATAGTAATCATAATCAAAATCATTTATTCAGTTTAGGCTGTTACAAGCACTCATGAATATCTAGAAGCTACGCCATAGGTTCGAAAATCTACGGCGGAAGACCTTGTACTGAGAAGAACCGGCAAGAAACTCAGCAAGGGCTGTTTTTTTCTCCCTGTTTTATTATTTACAGAGTGGTGAAGTTGACGAATTTGAATATATTACTCTTTATTTGCATTAAATAGGGTTGACAAAAGGTGTTTGCATGTAAAGCTGAAGTTAAAAGCTAAGAATCTTGAACCTATTTAGCCATAAGAATAGCATGCAAAAAAAATCTAACATATTAAAACATAACAGTCATTTGGTGCCTCTTCACTTGAGTACTTGACAGTCGTGATCCCTGTACTTTAAGTTACGACTTTTTAATAAGTTTCTGAAAAAGTCATGATATTTTTTTAGCATGGATTTATTTGGAACTTTTGTTTAAAATTTATGAAAAACACACAGGTGCGTACGCCTGTTTCATGTGGAGCACCTGGAGCAGACCTTCCGTGTCTATTTTGTGCCCAAATGCCCTTATAGTAGTGAATATCAAGTTTAGAGAGAATTGGTTTTTATTTATAATTACAACATCTAAACGAAATAGCATATTCTTTTCTGCTTGAAATATAAATTAAGTAGAATTTTGTGTAAATACGCCTTATTAGAGAAATATTGATGATTAAATTTTATTGAGTCATAAAATAACAAACAGACGTAGCATACTTTAACGGAGTTACTTTTTTGGGATTAAAATGTGTCTTTACTTGATGCGATTTTGGATATTCTATTGAATTGATGATTTGACATAAATCATTTAGATTGATAATAATGAATTTCCCACAAAAAATAAAATTTCACATTTGAATGTATAAGAAATTCTATGTTTAAGAATTTGTATAAAATTACTATACTAAAATGACAATAATTAATAGTTTCCGTACTATTAATTTTAATCATTTCTTTATTTTTAGTAGAAAATTGTATAAACCAATACTTAGTTATTTAAGTATATATCTGTAGATCTTTTTAATTAATCACTTTTTATGTTCTATAGAAGATCTAGTTTTAAGATTGTAACATTGTCCTATTCTCCTATTTATAATTTTACAAATTATTCTGGCAACACTTTGAGATGCAATCTGGCTGTTACATTATTGATGTTATCAGTTAACGGAAGTATTAAAATTGTAATTTATTTATTTATAGTTGTTTAAAACGTTGAAATAAACCGCTTTCAAATTATATTTATTTGTTTTATTTATTATGAATTTATAGATATATAGTTTATATTAACTAAAAATATATATTTTAGATAGTTTTTTTAGTATTTTGGTTTTTATTAGTCTTATATATATTAGTTGTTACAATTAGACAAATACAGTGTGACCAAGGGCATGTCGCGCTTGGCCGAAACCGGAATTAATTTTAGGAAGGTATATTTTTTTTGTTAGTATTTCCAACACACACCAATTAGCCTAGCCCCAAAGTAAGCACTGTAAGGCTTGTGTTATGGGATACTAGGATAACGGATAGAATACATATATAAGTATATTTATATAGAAATACAGATTAAACATCCATGACTGGAGTACAATTGCTCGTATTCATCACACAAACATCTGCCCTCACCGGGACTCGAACCTGGGACCTCTCGAGTAAGCGACACCTTGAAAGCCGGCGTTCATACCACTCGGCCACGGAAGTCTTAAAAATAAGCCTTGTTTCGTAAAAATAAGCCTTATTTAAAGCGGATGGTGTAAATATACCTTTTACATTTCTTAATACTCTTTCAGAGTTATTTTAGACTAGCTGTGCCCCGCGGTGTTACCCGCGATTTATTAGGAATATTTTCCCGCAGTAAAACGTAGCCTATGTGTTAACATAGGGTGTCAGCTAACTCCATACCAAATTTTATTAAAATCGCTCCAGTCGTTTAGACGTGAAGAAGTAACAAACATACACACTCGCAAACTTTCGCCTTTATAATATCTGTGTGATTATACTTAACTTTTCCTTTAGTAAGATTTTACGTACTTCTTTATTTACCACTTATTCAACAGCAGCTCCCTTCTGTCAATATCATATAAGTGCCACGATAAATTGAATGCACTGTATGCCTTTTTAGAATAAATATTAATTCTAGAATATTACCCCTTTTAATCATTCACGAATATGACGATTAGTTGATCATTGCAACATCAAACAATGCTATCAGTATTTTTTTAATAGACTAAAGTTATAATCCGATATAAAAATAAAGACTCACTCAATATACAGGAAACCATTAGATTAAAACAAAAAGGGAAGATACGGCACTTGCGGCTCAAAAGTGATCCGCTTAAATTGTGGTGCATGACCACAATACGCTTTAGTCACAAATGGATATTCAAACACGCTGCATGTGCACTCAATATAACAATATTGCGTATATTCTGTGTTATAAAGATAAAACAATGCCTTCTATGCTTTTATTAAGAACACAAATAGTTCAAGATCAAGAAACAAAGGAGATGGAAAACGGTGGGCCCAAATGTAATAAGTAGAGATATGATCTAAAAAAATTGTCATATTTTTTCGCTGAGAATATGAAAAATTCATTTCTATTGTCAATCTGGAAGCGGAGAAATATGAGAAAGATAGTTTTCCTTTCCTATAACGCCTCCTGTTTTTTGTAAATCGGACCTGGCAACACTGATTTCGACCCTGTTGTCTTTTGAAGTTAATTGTATTTTTTTTCTTACAGCGAATACTGATGGGTTTTTGCGTGATCGAGTTTGCGAAAACACAAAGATTACGAATTGAAGTACTTATCTAGTTTTAAAGTAATAGAAAATAAATAAATAGAATCCACTAAAACATTTACATATTTCATTTAAGAAATAATTGTTTTGAAATAATGATGGACGAAGCATTAAAGAAAGTCCACACTACAGGCAAACGGTTGATAGTCTGAGGTGACTTCAATATTAATTTATTAAAAAATTCTAACTTGTGTAAAACATTAAACATTAAATTCTTATTTCAATCATACAATCTAAAGAATTTGTTTGTGGAGCCAACTATAATAACTGCTACTCAGCCACTTGTACTGACAATGTCTATACAGATCTTGTACCACTTTCAAAACAGATCATCAGTCAACTAGATTCTGGTCATTGTGGCCAGATGGTCACTTTACACCAGCAATGTAAACAAGTGGTAAAGAAAGTTACGTAAAGTAAGTACTAAAATCTTCGTCGTTTATTCATAAACGTGGAATTTTACTATTGTTCTCTGTATTGCAACGAATATTGGCGTATGCGTGCATGTGTTTAAACAGTGCGTCCTTAATCATCTAATCTGTTGTTATCTGCGAGGCTAGTTGTTACTAGAGTCTGTGCGGAAAGAGAATGGGCGTGGCGAAAAACGGAACTAACATTAAGATTTTTATTTGGCAATCAAACCCAGCAATGTGTAAAACGTCAAAGTTTGGTATTGATACGGATTTGTTTGTTGTTGTGATTAGGGGTAAAACCTTACAATTACGGTAGAAAAGCACTACAGCACCCTCCAATCCTAATCCCATTCTCTTTCCGCACAGACTCTACTGTAGTTATATTTTACGTTTTAGCTGTTGGCCTTCCAGATAATAAATAAATAAATAAATCGCAATGGCTGGTCATAGGATTGATGACCGGAAATTTATTACCTCTTTCTGCTCCGTGCTTCAGAATACATGTTAAACTGTTGGCCCCAGCTGCATCTTTAGTATTTCGAGTATACACCAATCCGCACAATATTTTACTCCATCACTTACCTTTTTTTTAAAGGGGAGATTGCGTTTACGCCATAGAGGTATAAGAATAGAGTAGGGGAGATATAGACTACTACAAGTGGAAGTGTCCCTCTAATAGAAAGAGAAGGAAGATGAGAGACCGCTAGCTTTCTCTCTCTAATCGCGCATGCGCATTGGCAACCGTAAGCATCTTAATATTTCGATGTGATGCTTGGACCAACGACAACAACGACAAATTGGACAGACGACTGCGTATGCGTCGCAAGAGAGAGAGATAGCTAGTGGTCTCTCATCTTCTTTCTCTTTCTACTAGATGGATACTTTTAGAGCTGTCTTCCCCACTCTATTCTTATACCTCTATGGTTTACGCACTGTCCCCGCCCACTGGGCTAGTGAGCGGGGGTGTGTGGGACTCTCCCGGCTGAAGAGATAGCCGGGAATACTTATCCTTCAAAAAAAGTGTCTCCGTATTATCGTCAATATCAGACAGCAAGTAAGTTGTAAACCACATTTCATTGAAGAGAAATTGTTAACCCTTCCTTCACTGTATATAATGGAAATAGCATTGTTTGTTCGCAAACAACTAACATATTTTACATTCAATAAAAATCCGCGATTAAATTTGATTTAGTATTACCAGTGCCAAAACTAGAAATGTTCAAAAAAAGTCCTCAATACCGTTCAATTATAATATATAATAAAATTCCGATGGAAATTAAAAGAGAAAGCAACATAAATACATTTAAAATGAAACTCAAACAACATCTTATCAAGAAAACATACCTACTATTCGGTAAATGAATTTATGAATGATAAGTGAAACTGTCACGGAAAACTCACTAACTTGTTTGAAACTGAAACTGTTTAGTAGTTGTGTTGATATAGTTATTGTACTTGCAACACCCTGACAGGGTCATGTACCATGCTAAAATAATT